ACAGCGGCCCGATGATTGATGGCCTAAAATCCCGACTACTTAATGCTGATTGATTCTATGTCTTATTTCAGAGACTGATTGAGGCTTACAGAAGAGTTTGTTAATATTCAAACAGGTAATAGTGAGACTGGGGACGTAAAAGTAAACATTCAAAAACGAAAAAGTAGCTAGTCTTCAAGACATGTTTATCTGGTGTGCAAAGAGAAATGGTACTAGCTAGGGAGGAAATTGACCGCGTCAAAAAATATTACATATCTTGTGCAAAAATTTTCCATGAATGGGGATGGAATAATCACATACATTGACGGCTCACAGGACAAGAAGGAATTGCGCTCAAAGAAATATGTTGCGCAGTGCACAGGGTTCCGGAATTGCCCGGTAAAGTGTCGCGATTACAATGTTCTCAATCGTTAGTTCTCCCAGCTGAACTATGGGCAGAATCTGGGGAGTGAGTAGAAGGATAGATCGACTAGAAAGTATCGAAACAGATTATTTCAAATTAATTCTAGGAGTTTCTAGTTGCGCAGCAAATAGCCGGAAGTCTAAGATAGGTCGGAAGTATAGGGATTTGGAGAGATTTTAAGAATAATCTATTAAACTTTGGGATAAATTAGCAGCATGAACAGGCTGACACATACATAGGTGCATTAGCAGTGACAATGGCAAGACAGGCGTACAAATTAAACGGTACTTGACCCGCGCAGGTTGGCGGAGACGTCTCTCCGAAATGGGTGGAGATAGGCGGAACCCGTGCAAATAGAACGCTGATTTCGCACAGACTTCGCGGATATTTAAAAGGCAATGAGATCTTGGCAGCAACCGCTGAAAAACGTTCGCTAGTAGCTCAATCCATGCGAGTCCGTTATGGGGTTGCGAAGGTTGCGTTACATACTCTCGGAAAGGACGCAAGAGGGGTCGCTTGGTTCAGGGTTGGGGATGGATCGCAGCGTAGACTAAAGGACGCAGTGCGAATGGCATTGTGTGCTTTGCTTGTGATAGGGAAGACTGAGATCCACATCCTTCGTAATTTGCTGCTGCAATCCGAATCATGGCAGGAAAAAATTGATGGGATGGCAATTACTACTTTCTAAAAAGGAATACGCTCGCGCCAAAACATTTTAGAGTGATAAAAGGTCTAAATTCTGAAAGAATTAGGAATCATTTTTTAGGAAAGGTTCGGACCATTACGGAAACCTGAAATTAGGAGTGGGAAACAGCACGGTATGCTGTGACGGAGCCTAGACTGGAGAGAAATAATAGTCAATTAAGCTAACAAAATGTGAGTTAATCAGTAATTTTTTTTAAGTTAGTAAACAGAAATAAGTCATAGTCTAAGTTAATTGCGTTAAGTAAAGGTTAATATACATAATAAAATAAAACCGGCCCACTATAATTAAGCACATTAGAGGGGAAGAAGGGGATCGAAAATATAAGCAGAGGCGTTAGTGGGGACGATCCTCCTGTGGCGCTGTTGATTTCAGGTGCTGAAGGAGCCAATCACTGGAAGGACACGGGGAGGCCCGCACCAGAAAAATAAAATAGCAAAATGAAACGTCGGATAAGACTTAGAAATTTACTCTGCTTCTGACGCGGAGGTTTTTCCCTTCAGGGTTTTTTTCCTGAGCGTTACCTATGTCTCTTTTCCGCGCTTTGATGCGATGGAGAGACCATCTTTGGATGTGAATACCAGAATTCGAAGACTTAGAATAGCGGAAGTGATGTAGGTATTGCTAATGGGCATAAAGGCCTTCGGCCTAGCCACATAGGATCAAGTAAGCTAATTTGTCTGTAATAATTACTATTAAATAAAATAATGTTTATTTAATGTTTGAAAACATTGGAAATCTTCAAATAACCTGATGAAATTTATTTGCTAATAATACAATTAAGTCGCGTTTTATGGAGAATGTAAATGTGTAAAAAATGGACTAAATATTGCAAGATATAAATTAATAAGGACAATTTAAAGAATTCAGCTGCTTTTGTAGTCATTCTTATGTGACGGATGGCTTCTTCTTTAATAAATGTGGTTTGGACTTTTAGCTAGAGCCTGATTAGTTCCTGATCTTCACAGGCAGTTGATGCATCATTGTAATGGTTCAAAACTATTAATATGATTAATATATTTCTTTGTTTGTGATTTTTCAATTCATATGATCAAAAGAGCCCAAAACAAATCTTCCAGATTTTTGGTTTTACTTCCGTTCCGTATGCGGATTTCATCTTATATTTGAGATCACGTTTACAATCTAAATTCACTAAGTAAACCTAAGGGATAAAAAATTATTGAAGTTTTACAAAGACACGCTGAAAAGAGTTATTCAAAATAAGAAACAACTACAAACTTAGTTGCTCTTCCGTGTACAGACCTTGTTCAAAGAGTAAAAATACTGTAACGTGACTTCATCATCATCATCATCGATACGGACAATGTAAATAATTACGTTTATATAATTTTGCACTTAATACGTTTTTCAACTTTTATACAATGTTTATTGTAAGTCCTATAGCTCCTACTTCCATGCTAATTTTTCAGATTATGCGTTTTACGTTTATAGGATTTTTCGAGCTTGTCCTTCATAATGAAAGACCCTTTTACACCGCTGTACATGTCCAAAACGCACAAAAGTGACCAACAAGTGAGTTCATTTACCGTTTTAGAGGAACCCACGGAATTATTTGTTGAATTCCAGTAATTTCAGTTGATTTTTAAATTTTGCCTATAAGTAGGCGTTTCAACTATTTTTTAACCGTCATTTGAATTTTGGAACAGAACTCAGATAAACACAAATAGGGAATCTCCGAGGCGGTGTTTGTAATGTTCACCGACATTGTTTCAAATTAAAATTCAGGGCAATTTAAATAGGAAATACGGAAACTCGAGAGAATCAAATACTTATATGACAATTTGACCTGTGCCACACAAGCGTCTGCTTGACGCGCGTCACCACACTGATGACGTCGCGCTGCGTCGCATGCCTGCGCACAGCGAGTCACGACGCGCGTTCCTAGATTAACTTGTATCTTATGCGAAACGTCATACGAAGCGCTTTTGGCAACGTGTGTCGTCTAGTCGTCAGTCCGTCGGCGTTGAAAGCTAGAAAACCAGTTGTCACGACTTGACGTAGTACAGTGAGACTTGCTGACAACACGCACGTCTCCAAATCTTCTCATGTGTCGGTTTCCAATTGTGTTAAACCAACGGACACGCATTAAGCGTCGGCCAGCTTCCTGTGACACAACCTCCTGTGTTAGGCCGGCGAATAGTCGAAGAAAACAGTTGGAGAGCTTTTATGGAAATGGCACCGGAACATCGCCTCTTCTTCTCAATAGTTTTTGTCAGAAGACAAGTGTTCCTGGAAAAGAGATGAAACACAATTGACAAGATTGTTACTTGGAGAAGAATTAAGAGAATATTGAAAAAGTCTGTCGCGTTAACCTCTGTCCAAACGAAATATAATCCCTTTCCTTAACTTCCTTGCTTTCGTGTTTCTACTACATCCAGTGCCTGGCCACTCTGGCGTCGAACATTGAAGACGTTTCAAAACGCTTTTACTCAGCTTTCCGCCATTAGCTTGTGTGTGACATGTGAGCAGCGTCTGGCGATAGAAAAATTCCTAGTATTTCACAATGCCATTACGCGGGAACGCGCCACTAGAGCTGGTCGATCTTTCCGGTGACGCTCCGAACTATAGAAAGAAGTTGACAATCGACCTTCAAGGAACTTGCACGAAGAAATGAATGTTTGAATCAACAGAGACAGAAATTCGCAGCGGCTTTTTGGAGAAAATAGCCTATCTCGGGCGCCAGTTTAAAATGTTTATGATTCTTTCACTCTGAACGCCTCAGAGAACATCAAACGCCCTGTTAAAGAAGACAAGGCGCCAAATTTGAAGTAATTTGGCCGGCAATGTGTCAACATCCTGTGACACAGACCTATAGGACAAGCTGCATAAAGTGCGAATATCAGTACTATCTTTTTTCATCGGGCGTGCCTATGCATGGCCTGCGTGTATTCTAAGTGACAAATAAAGTACTTCAGCTTCCGGGTAAATGACCCGTACTTCAGCTTACAGTCTCGGCGTGGGTTTTTTCTAATTTCCTTGATTAACAGAGCAAATGCTGAGATGGCCCCTTGTGTTGCTGGTGGACATAAATGTAGCTTTCCCATTTGCTAGTACTTGTAGGAGTCGAGCCCGGGAGGATAATACATTGTTATCCATTAAAAATAAAATAAAACCTGCAGTTTATTTATTGATGCAAATATAGGTTTCTATAACTTAGGAGCAATAATGTCTAGTTTTCAAAAGTTACAAACGTCGCTTCATTTAAAAATTTTATTCATCGTTAAGCTATAGTTAAAATGTTAGAAAGAGTTTCTGGGGCTCAAGAAAATCTGTGCAGATGGTACTTCTCTCCAATATGTTACATGAAGGTTTTATTATTATTATTATTATTATTATTATTATTATTATTATTATTATTGGCGTATAGGCCATTACTGACCACGCCACACGATTAACATGTGTAATTCTTCCAGGATCAGCTTTTCAGCTGTATCCTTGGATTACAACAAGGTTGTTATGCCTTATAGTGTGACTTATGAGATGAAAGGATGGTGATGATAGGTGAAGCGACAATTACAAATACGACCGTGCCTACGCAGGACTCGAACCTACAGCCTCCTCGGCACAGACGACGGCTGCCGCAACCGTCTGCGCCACGGGGCCGACTATGTAGGTTTTATTAATATTAGACTAAATAAATCAAATCAATTTTTTGTTCATAATATTCAATTTTAGTTATGCGTTTCTCCCATGTACACATTCTTTCCCTTTCGGTCCCATGAATAACGTTTAAGTGAATTTTTTCTAAATTTGCGTTCATTTTTAAAGGAGAAACTGAATTTTAGCTCTTACCTCTCCCAAATACCAACCGACAACTCAGGATCCAAGTTTCCCCTATGACCTGAAGATCCTATAAAAAATCATGTTGCTTACCGTGCACCATGTAACATGGTAACTTCTAATGGGTTCTCCATTGTCTGCAGGAATGTTCCATCGTAGTTCGAAGTGAGTTGGATAAGCTGACATCACAGGCGTGTCCACTGGTGCTTCAGGATGTTCAAACATCATAGGTCTGTCCAGAAGTGGAGGAGGTTCAGGAGGAGACCTCTTGGGCATTACTATGATTTGTGTGGCACCCCAGGGTCCTGTTCCGACGTCGTTTTGTGCAGAGAACTGAAATTCATACCGAGTTTGGGGAACTAAATCTTCCAAAACGTATTCAGAATCTGAAAGAAGAAGAAAATAATACTGACAAAACAGGACATGTGCGAGATTATTTTACAAATGCGAGGACAAACTAAGATACAATTTTAGGGCCAGCTAAAATTGATGTTTAGGTAAACGTCCAACATAGAATAAAACGTAGTTTACTTACAGTTACATATTTATTAAGAGTATGCAATTAAAGGGTTTGGGCAAGTCAGTGATAATCCTAATTTCACATCTCCAAAATAAAGACATTGTGATACCCCTAATACAAACGCTGTACAAGCCTAGTCATAAAACTACACAATGTGTGCAGAAAGATATCTCTCTCATTCTCTCCCCTCTCTATTATATATATATATATATATATATATATATATATATATATATATATATATAGCAATTGAGGCCACATGAAGAACAGCGTCAGTAAAATGGGCAACCGTAGCTTCGATATCGTTTGGGCAGGTTTTCGATATTCGTATTTCTTTCTCGAATGTTCCTCCACTCAGCTCGATGGGTTAGCCAGCGAGGAGAACGGGCGACGTTTGGGTCGAGAATATCGAAATTGACCAGAATGGGGAAGTGGTCACTGCCATTAGGTAGCCAAGGACAGACTACTCAAAGGAAGTAGAGAGAGATGGACTACAGGGAGTCAGATCGACGGACGAGAAAATGTTTGAAGCCACGGAAATGTGTGCTTTCGGATTACGAAAGATTAATTTTATCGCTTTTTTTCTCAAAATCAGTAAATAAGTAGAATAATTTACGAGAAATTGTATAAAGCAAACGAGAGTCCAATCCGGCAAATAGTGTCGGAAATTGACGTGAAACCATACGAAGCCAATATGCGAAAACAAATACCCCTCCCCTCTGCGTGATAAACTTGAAAAAATATTCATCTTCTCGTTTCTTTAAGAAAACATATAAAGAACAATTTACGAGAAATTGAATGAAGCGAACGAGACTCCCTTCCGATAAACAGTTTCGGAACCAAACTCCAAAAAACAAAAATACCCCCCTTGCGTGACAAGTGTGGAAAAATATTAATTTCGCTGCTTCTTTCTAACAATCAGTATTTAGGTAGAACAATATACGAGAAATTGATCTGAGAAAACCACTCCAATCCGTCCAAAAGTGAATGTTAAGATGCAATATTTGTTCCGTAATGGCAAATGTGTCAAAATCGGTGCCGTAAGATGGCTTTGTATGTATTTTTTTTAGGGTCATTCATAATGTCGGATTACAAAAAATATTCTTTAGGAAAATAAAAGAAATCTGACTTGTTCTTACCTGCAGGCCATGCGCGATTTCTCCATTGATGTACCAATTCATCTGATTTACCATACCGTACATTATAAACACGGATTGGAATTCCACCATCGTACATTGGTCCCACAATTATGAACTTTATGGACGTGGCTGCAAAAAACAAACAAAAAGTATATAGTTAAATTGTCATTAAAATGATTGGTTGATGACAAGTGGTTCCGGGCACATCAACGGCTAAAGTCATTATGCCGTAAGTGTAGTGTGTGTTTTCTCCGCAGGAGGTGGCAGTGATATTCCCAGGATCTGGATGGTGAGATTTGGTGCCAACCAACTGGTGGTTTGCGGGGATTTCCGCCAACCCGGTATTTCCCACCAGCCAGCCTCTGCCCCGGTCGGGGCAAGCTCTGGTCTCCTGGATTGTGTAGAAGTGTCGTGCATGCAAGTGTAAGTGTGTGTAAGTAAGGGGTGAGGATACGACAAGGAAAAAGAATAAAAGACACTTGGTCCGTGGCCCGTTTGTTAGGGCACTACTCCGGCATTAGCCTGGTGTAGATCGGAGAAACTATACAACACTACAGATCAAAGTAGTGGGCTGCTAGAATTCTCCTCCAGACAGCGACTGAACTCGAGCTATCTTGCTGTATCTCGACCAAGTTGAGAATAATGTTTACGAGAGCGCGCCACTGTCTGTTTACAGCTGAAACGATAGAGACGAAGATATAAAGACAACGCAAATTAAAAACGGGCCTGTGCGAAACTGTTACGTGGAAAATACGCGATTTATTTCGTCGCAAACCTAGTGTCTATCCAATGTGTATTTTAACTGTATGACGGATATGACTGTACCTCATTTTGGAATAAATTAAAGTTTACTTTTCTCTGCAGTATGAATTAAAATGATTATTGAACTCCTTCAATGAGAAGAAAATTTGTACAATTTACATTCGTATAAATCGTTTAATTTAACTTAAACAGTTTCTCAGATTGTATACCATTTAAAATTATTTTTTAAGTACGAAGCAACTACTGCTATAATAAAGAAAATTGTAGATATTTATGACAGTGAAGTTTTGGTACTTTATTGCATATGTAATAAACTGCTTAAAGCCTGCTTTAAAAAGAAGATGAATAAAGAATACAAAATGTTTAAATGTAGCAAAGAAGTAATAAAAAATTGATATAAAAGAATTATGTATGGTGTATATTCTTTAAAAAGAAAGGTAAAAAGTGGGAAAAAACGCAACTTAATGTGACAAAAATAAAATAGTACGAGCAAATTTGCATAATGTGTCTCTTAAGTTATATTTCATCAGCTGATTATGTAGAAGCAGTATCAGTATCTAATGCCGTAAGAGTTTCCTGGCTGGTGTCAGAGAGAATCTGTTTCACTAAATGATTCACTGCCACTTACAGGACTGACACTTATTACAAGGTCATCAGCAGCATATTCAAAAAAAGCATCCCTATCCTAGTATTCTTTTGCTAATTTATTGGTATAAATGACAACTTTTTTCCAATCTTTTATTGTTATTTTATCAATTGATTCTGACGTCATTATTTTTAAATTAGAAAGCGACACTTGATAGATGTTTCTTCGATCACTTTCATTTTCACTCGCACAAAATTTAATTACATTACAGACAAAGCATCTAGCCTACCTTCGAAGAGTCACATCTCGATGAGAACTCGCATTTCTCAAAGCTAAGCCCAAAAACATTACACTTCAGCTCCCCACAATTTTTTTAGGTTACACCTGCTGTACAGACCTATGTTTGCACTGTTAGTTCCATGACGTGCCACAATAACCTCCTTCATTCTTCACTTGGTAGAGTTATACTGTAGAAAATCCTGCCATCATCAGGACTTGAACCTAGGACCATCCGGTCAGATGCTCTGCAGTCACAGCAGTTGATGACCTCTGCTACCTATCCCAGTCATTAAAATAGAATATGCAGAAATAAATTTATGATTTTTGTCCCATTAACCCTTGAAAATATTTTGGACCTTAATAAATCCAGGTTTTGTAAACTATGATGTATAATATTTCAATATTGCACTTTGCGACTATAGCAAATTCACACCCGTTGGAATAAAAAATATTTTGCCATGAACACTTTTTAGTTCACTGGAAAAGTTGCTTTAAATAAGCACCTGTTAAAATTATCTACATTTTATAGTAGCAATGACTGGTATGAAATAGAAAGATAAATTTTATTCATATTTGAGAAAGAGTGGCTTGTGAGGTGATGTCAGAAGCTGATGGACCTAATTCTCTTGAGGGTATATGATAATTTTACTTTAGAATGCTATATATTACTTTCGTATGTAAAAGGAAACAAAAAACATACAATGAAATGGTTACAGAGGTTAAAATGTCTTTTCTTCATAATTCTCTTATTAGATGGCTGCATTTACCATAGTAATCATTAGGAAAAGGATTTTCATGTAAATACATATTTTCACAAGAGCAAGATATCTGCATTAAAACACATTTTATAGAGTTTACAAGATATTCTGAACGAATTAGAACCATTTTTACTTTAGATATTTTTATATACTTTAGTATAATTATATATTTTACCTATTACTATGTTCTTTGTTACATTTTAACTGATTTGCATCTTGAAACCAAACATTTCACACATGAGTTCACAATATATATTACTAGAATCATCAAGCCAAGCAATGCACTTCTATTAACATCAAATCTTCACTATGAATAAATCAAACATATCTGCTCCCTTCTCCTTTCTGCTTCTTGAAAACTGTGTAGTTGGGATCAAAGATAACCCGATGTAGCAAAGTAACTTCCATCACACACTTGCACATGTTTCGTAGACCCCATGCGTAACTTAATCAAAAACTAACAAATATTTTTTAGAGCACTGTCTTACATGTTTTCTTGAGTCAGGAAGGGACACCCTTTACTTCCTTAGAGATCCATCACTGGGTTCATGGTACTCTTCACTTGAACACCAGATCCTCACAAACAACATTGTATATACTACAAATATACTTTATATTTCTAATGTAACTGATGTGAAATACTTATGTAGGGTTAGAACTTTCTGTCAGCCTCTCCGGACCCATGTTAAGATCTTATCGGCGACCTTCTGTGCTCAAAAAAAACTTATAGAGATCAATTTTGAACACTATAATGAATTTTAATTTTACATATTTTCAATTTATGTTACATGTTTTGGAAAAAGTAAATACATACATATGTACATAGTTTGCTTTTTTTATTACAATAAATTCCATTCCCTAGAAATCATTATAATACAGTTTCAATTTGGTTCACGATAACGACCTATCTCAGCAATGTTTGCAAATGAAGCAACGAGATGTAATTAATCATTGGCCATCATTCTTGTTAATATTTCTTTCTGACACACTACACATGGGAATAACCCAGGAAAGGGCATAGCACATCATTCAAAATACTAAAATGTTAATGGGAGGTAATCAAACATGGAATTAGCATCACCAGAAGTACATGAGACAAAGGCATCTGGTTTAAATATACCAAGAAAGAAGAAATAAACCTTTGTTTATGCTCTCAAGATCAACACAATAAATGAAGGTGTACATATCTCAAATTGATAAAATTAAAACCGGCAAAGGTGGCTCATGGCATTAAGTGATGTCACTGCAGTACCTCTGAGAGGGAGGACCTAGGTATCCATTCTTGATGGCAAAATTTTTTACACCAGCTTCATAGCTAGGTCAAATTTAGCGGCTTTCTGCAGAAGAATTCTAGGAGCCAGCTGCTCTGATCAGTAAGTTTCAATATTTTTTCTGATCAACTCCAGGTGAATGCCGGAGCAGTACCCTAACAATTTGTATTCCCCCCATGATAAAAACAAGCACTACAATTACGGAACAAACGACCTCGGCGCCTGAAACCATAAATCAATCAATCAATAAATAAAAAACTGATGAAATATTTTACCTGTCACTACTTCAATTGCAGTTTGTATTATAGACCCTGGTGTTTCAGCTTTGTGAAGAGTAATTACATGGGATTGTGTCCCGAGCTTATTCTTTGCTTCACATCTGTATGTTCCGTACCTTCCTTGGAAGCTGGAAGGAATCTGCAATAAAAACATGATTTTATCACACCATTTTCCCATCAGCAGACTATATGATTAACAAACAAAAGAGAAATCAAACAGAAATATCCCTGAAAACAAAGCCCTACATAAAAGTAGAGAAAGGCAAGTTTATTGAGCAATAACATTTTTTTCCCTCCTAATAATCTTGGTTGCATTGTTGGAATACCTTACTCAATCTGCATTTATACAAAGAAGTTGATAACTTCCTTTCATGATAAATAAATAGGTTCTCTTCTCATTTTTAGTGGAGACAGTGAGACAAACAATAGACAGAAAAGCCATAATTAAATAGAAAGATTGTACATACTTCAAGCCATGATTGTGGTCCTTCTCCATGTTTTATAACCTCTGGTATTCTATCCCTGTCAAGATCACGGTTGTTGTAAAACCAGCGAATTGTGGCTTTGGGAATACATTCAGCCAGGCATGTTATGTTAGCTATCTGGCCATCCCATGACCAATAGTCTGCGTAAGGAGTGTTGACAAATGATGGTTTGAATTCCACTGTTAAGTGTCCAAAAGACACTGCTTCACCTGCCTGTAGGAAGAGATATTTCATTTTAACACACTATTCATTAAGCTAAATAAATAAATGAAATAAAAACATTGAATTTATGAAATTTATATTCATTTCTTTATTTCTTGGACAGTTTTATTAACACTAGTGGGGCAAGAACTGCACATACTTCCTTTCTTTTCATAATGGAAAAGTACTACCAACTAAAGTAAAGTAAATGAAGTTAAAGTATCTTTTGGGATTTAAAATTACTATCTTTTTATACTTCACATTGCTATTTACAGAATATATAATCCCATTTAATTGTTTTTACAATTTTTGTCGGTGTTTGTACACGCTAATCTCAAGTACAGGAAAACTGATTCCAATAGAGTTTTTATTGAAAGGCTGAGTATTTTTTGGGGCATAATTTAGGCTTCTTTTATAAAATTATTATTTTCTATAGCAGAAAGCAGAATGTCCATCTTTTAATACAAATACACATTTTTATTTCCATCTTAAGGAGGCAGTGAAATATAATTGGAATTTTTTGGTTGCATTTTTTGATATAACACTTTGGTGCAGAATTCAAAAATACATCATGTCTATTTTAAATTTGAAGTGCAGTGTTATCATTCAGAATCATTAATATCCTAATTTATTTTGAACGCATATTGTACTCGTGGTTGAGAGTCTGTGAATGCAGGATTATTGTTGAAGCTCTGAAGGATATGTTTGCAACTTTTATACCTTTTTAACAAATAAAATAAAATAATAAATAAATAGCTTTGCTACTGATCCTTGGCCATTTTTGAGGTATTTTTAGCCATCTTTTAGGCATTGGGCATTATTCATAATGTCGCAGTGAGTCGTAGTCTCCTAGTCCTTTGGCCAGTGGCTCTACTCCGTTAGTCACTGGACGTTCCCATATGGTCATCCATTCAGGAAACCATAGTAGCTCAAGTTGCTTAACTTCTGTGACTTCAAGGAGCATAGTTAAGCAAATCGGCTAACGCCATCTTCCCTGGATTGGTGATAAATTGTACTATTACAGCACCCCAAAGCATTGGTTATATGGGCAACTTTTCCATGAAAAAGTAGCAAGACCTTTAGCCCTTGGCTAAAGAGGAAGAGAAATATGTTCTGAAATGATTACCTGGATTTGTCATATGTTAAATTAGTTTTTGTTTTATGATCTGGGTTTATTTACTAATATCACTTTGTAAATTCTTAACATTTCAACTCTGCAACAATGAAGGTTTTATTATAAGTAATAACTTCAAAAATTAAAATACAAAAATTTCAGACTCATGAAAACTATTTTCATGTGCTTCAAAGTCAGATTTTGCTGCTATGAAGGAAGCATAATTTAAAGGTGCAAGAACAAATTCACAAACATCAAACAAAATATATATCCTTGATTTACATGCTTCATAAAATGTGAATATTATTAATTAACATCAAATAACTTACCGGATTCGTGGCAACACAAGCATACAGACCATCATCAGAGCGCATTACTTCATCCCACGACAATATTCCATCGACACGGTCAGGATACTCTATTCCACCAGGTTTGCTACTAGTGACTATTCTTGGATCAGCACCCTGAAAAAAAAAAATTGTATAGTCTGTAGGCATTAATAACATCTACTGACTAATTTGTCTAAAACAACAAACAGGAAGAAAAGAAACAATAAGGACAGTAAAATTGTATATTAAATATACATGAGTTCAGGAAGATTAGGATGGTAAAAATCACCCAAACAATTTCGAATGAAAGGTGAAAGAACAGACAAGAAGGGAAAGAAATCAAGAAGAATAATGACATAATGAAGAAAGAAGCAAAAAGAGAGAATGCAAAGAAAAAAGAGGGACAGCAAAGCAATCTACACAAAGAATAGAAACAACATGGATTTTTAAATTAGAATGATAAGGAATATGTAAAGAGGCAAATAGAAATGGAGAGAGAAAGATTCCAAAGAGAGGAATATAAAAGGTAGAATATTATTAAGAAAAGAAATGTAACTAAAAAATTGATTAGAGAAACAAGAAACCAAAGAAGGATCTGTAATTTAAGAGAAATTAGTTCTCGAACTCCATTTGGGATATTATTAAGAAGATTAGACAGAAAGAAAAATGGTAAACAGTGTTGTGGATACCAGAAAGGGTTGTGTGGAAAGGGGAGAAAGGATCTAGTTAAGAGATGAACAGACATGACAGGAATGTAAAGGAATAAATAAAAAAAAACAGTGATTTATGTAAGAGAGGAATAGAGAAGGCAACAGAGAGAGAGAGAGAGAGAGAGAGAGAAGGACCAATAAAAAGACGAAAAAAACAAGGCATGGGAAAAGAAGAAAGAATAGAAAATACTAAGAGGTTCAGAAAAAAAGAGAAGTGAAAAGAGAGAACTAATGGCCAAGTAGGAAACCAAATGGTGTGGTGAGACATGAGGAAAGATGAAAGAAGAACAAAGATGAAAATGCGAGAGCGGAGAAACGAAGATAACAAGCAGAAGAAGGAAGTTGCGATGAAAAAGAAAGGGTAAAGTGAAAGGAGAGGAAATAAGATATGAGAGAATAGATTTAATACAATAAAAATGGGAAGGAGAAAGAGACAGATGGAGAAAGAGAGAGATGGAGAAAGAGAGAGAGAGACAGAGAAAGAGAGGGAGAAAGAGAGAGAGACAGAGAAAGAGAGGGAGAAAGAGAGAGGAGGCACGAGGGCGGCGCAAGGCAGAGCTGCTGCTGCCACGCCACCGGGCGCGGCCCTGCCTACGGTGGCGGGCGCCGCCACGGCGAACCAGCACGCCTCGCCCCCGGTGCGCAGGTTGAGGCTCGCTTCTGTACCTCTCATACCGGTCTCTCTCCCCTCGCTTGATTCTCATCATCGCTGCCTCCCCTGCCGAATCTCTCTTTCTCTCTCTCTCTCTCTCTCTCTCCCTCTCTTCATTCTCTCTTTCTCTCTCTTCTCATCTCTCTCTTCGCTGTCTTTCTCTCTCTCTTTCTCTCTCTTCTCTCTTACTCGTCGTTTCTGTCCTACTCGTCTCTCTCCTTCTCGCTCTCTCTCTCTTTTCCCTCTCTCTCTCTTTCCCTCTCTTCTCTGTCTCGTCGTCCTTTCTCCTCTGCTTCTTCTCTGTCTCTGCTCTTTTCTACTCTCTCTCTGCTTCCTTTTCTGCTCTCTCTCTCTTTCGCGGGCTCTCTCTTTTCGCTCTCTCTCTCTTTTCGCTCTCTCTCTCTTTCCGCTCTCTCTCTCTTTCGCCCTCGTCTCTCTTTCCGCTCTCTCCTCTCGTTTCGCTCTCCGTCCTGCTCTTTCGCTCTCTTCTCTCATTGTCGCTCTCTCATTTTCTTTCTCTCTCGGACATATCTTTTTTCTTTCTCTCCCTCTTTCTTTTCTCTCTCTTTCTTTCTCTCCTCTCTTTCTTCTCTCCCCGCTCCTCTTCTCCTTTTTTTTCTTTTCTCCTCCTCTTCTTTCTCTCTC